CTCAGGTCTAAGCCCATGATGGCCTCCATAGTTTTGTCCTGTGCTGTCCTTCTGGCCTTTCTCGTCCCCTCCCCATCTCAAACCTTCCACTTTGCCCAAACAGACTCGCTTCTGTGCTTTGGGTCAGCAGTGAGGCGTGAGTGTCAGCCCCGATGGCTCTGCTCGTGCCGGGGCTCTGCTGGTGCTGAGGATGCGTCCAGAGGTGAGGACGGCAGTGAGGGCCAGACAGACATGCCTCGCGGCTGCCCTTCAGGCAGAAGCATTTCTTCGAGTGTCTACAAGGGTTTTGAAACATTCCTGTAGGCAAGACTGAGTGCTGAGCTAGATAAAACATGAGTCAATACATCAACCAAAAGTTGAATAAATTTACCCAAAGACTTGGGTCGGGGAGAGACCAAGCTGAGAATTCCTTCATCTGCCACAACACTCACAGCAGCTTTTAAAAAGTAAAGACAAAAGTAGAAGCTATTCTTATCAAATCTTCCCACTGAAATAGCTGGAAAGCACAGTTAGTAAAATGAATGGCATGAAAAAATAGTACAATGTCCTAGAAAATCAGAAATTCAGGAAGACAAAGACCTTGAAATTAAACACAGAAAGGTGAATCCTCTTACACAAGTTCTGAAAACATGCCTACAAACTGGGTGATTTCTTTATTTGTTCGGCATCAGGTTGGGTAGCGTGGGCCATCCTGTGTACACAGCATCCGTGCTGCACCAGAGTGACAGAGGCCTGTGAGCCTCACTTCACAACTCGGCGAGCTGAAATGCTGCGACGCTGCTAGGTAATGCAGTGCCACCAAGAAACAGACTCCTTTGTTACCAAAGAATGTTAAGTCCGCTGGATTCCCTCTACCCACTTCTCTGTGGCTGGCCTCTGCTCGTGAAGCGTTCTTTCTGCACGAAGGAATTGCAGATGTGAAGACAGGTTCGCAGGCCGAGGGAGGCCCGGGTTACGCTGAGGCTGCATGTCCCTGCGTGGTAAAGCCAATCTCCCCAAGGAGCACAGGGAAGGAAAAGCCTCCAAGCTTTCCACTGGAGTCTCAGGTAGATCACACAGCATTTTATATTCACATCTAGTATAGCAAAGATTGCCAAAGACGTGACCTCTGCCTGTCAGAAAGCCTGGGGGGCTCAACCTGTTTTTTGTAGTTTTTTCCTTAACAACTGTTTACAGCTTCCGGTGTGAGCTGCAGTAGCTTTACATCAGTGCCCACCATGGTTCAGGCTTATCAGGAAATCAATTTTAAACACTCCACCTGATGCTTCTTAAAAATAACTGAGGAAAATGTATCTACGCTGTGCTTTTAAAATTTCTACACAAAGCCTGTGTTTGCTTCTGCCTTAGCTGCAAGTAACTTGTCATGACAAGAAAAAAGCTTCCAGTGGTCATAAAATTTGTTGATAGTCCAAATGAATTCAAAGATACTTTAATCCATGAAGGATGGACTAAAAATTTCAAATTCACTAAACATTTGCATCAGTTTTTAAAGTATTAACTTTTCATTAGCTTAGGGTTCATTAATTTAGAAAAGGAATACAACTGAAACTTTGAGATATTTGTTAAGGCAAATTACTTTTGTAATATTAGCACATTAATATTTTAGTTGTATACAAACGATAGCACTAACTATAACACAGCCCTGAGTTACTTATTAAAACATTCATTAGAACGTAGATGCTGTTCAAGAAGACAGTTTTAGGTACATTTAAAATATTATAGCCTTAATGACACATACCTGTAATCTCAACACTCAGGAGGCTGAAGCAGGAGGACTGCGATGAGTTCGAAGCCTTCCTGGGCTACATAATGAACTCAAGCCTACTCTGAACTACATGGAAAGACCCTGTTTTTAAAAAATGAGTCATTAGCTACATGAAGGTTAAGTCAGAATATTTATTAACTTTTAGATTTGAAAACTGAGGCCCAGAGAGGCGCTGGCCACCTGGCCTAAGTCTGTGCTACTATGTACCGTGGAGAGTGGTGGCAAGCCAGGGCCCCTACACCAAATCCCAGAGCAGGGGAAATCCGGAGCTGCTGTCTGTAGCCCGCCCCACACAGTGAGCTGTGCTAGCCATGACAGGGAGCAGGTCATGAAGACCAGGCTGGCTTCCTTAAATTTGAACTGGTAGGTGGGAGATTAAATTTGAAGCCTCAAAAGTCAACATAATATTTAATTTTTTTTTTTTTTCAGAATCAGGGATTGAACTCAGGTCCTTGCGCTTGCCAGGCAAGGGCTTATTCCACTGAGCTATCTCCCCGGCCCCATTATTTAAATTTTAATGGAAGCTATTAATTGAAGACATGAAAATGTGATGAGATTTGCATGTCAAGGATTCCCATAAATGAAGCTCTTTGGAAAAACAATTCACCATGAACAGGGAGGTGGAAGAAAGCTGGAAGGCAGGGGAGAGACATAGAAGGGGCAATAGCAAGGAAGACAGAAGAGTGCACACACACACACACACACACACACACACACACACACACGCACCCCTTTGGGAAGAATTCCCCACTGATGTAGTGAGACTGCCACTCAATACAGGTGATTTTCCTTAAGAGGACAAGGACTCATTCTGTGAGTTGAGGGCTGCTAACTATTAATACAATGCTTTGTTTAATTCCTCATAGCTCACAATTCCACAATGAAATTGGAGTGGTTTTCAAAAATATAGACCATGAACCAAACAAAATCAATCACTGTGGAAATAGTTCAGGGTGAGACCACGCACAGAGAGAAGCAAAGTGCGGTCCAGGGGGCTGCAGCTAGGGTGAGCAGAGGGAGATGGAGGGCACACGGTTCCTCTAGCAATCGCAGGACCCCTCACCCATGGGGTTAGAACAGAACAGAACCCCTTATCCTTCTGAAGCTTCACCTTTCCTACATCTTAAGCACAGCGGAGCCCCCAAGTCCTCACCAGCAGTCACTGAGTGACAACTGATGTGGTGGGCCTTGCCCCTCAGTGGTGGCTGGTGGTGGTGAGGTGGTGACAACAGCTACATTCCCATGTGGATTCTCCTCCCAGTCCTGGGGAGCCAGGGTCGGCCCTGATGAGATGCAGCCAGGCTCACAGAAGCGCGGCCAGGCTCTTGTGTCCGTCATACTAGGACTGGATCCTGCACTGGAATGGGGCTGTGTGTTCTTCTGTCTCCGTTGCTACACTTAGTCTTGGATAAAGGCTGTCACCTCATCAGCAAGATGGGTGTGAGGAGGTCAGCGTGGCCGAGATGCATGTGCTCAGTGAAGGTAACAAGGAAATCAGGCAGCAGGAAAGAGGAGGTAGGAAAGGGGAGGTCCTCATAAAGGACCATCAGAGAAGCCCCATGACATGTCAGGGACCAGCTGTTGAGGTGAAGTGTGTGGTGGAGGAACAGTGAGGAGAGAGGAGCCTGTGGGGCCCCCAGCCAGGCAGGGGGGTGGGCGGTATAGGAAGGAGCCAGGACTGCAGGAGAGGCAGTGGTGGTGGTAGAGACAGTCTCTTCCTCAGGAAACCTGCCTGTGCCCACTTCCACAGGGTAGCCAAAGATGCCAGTGTATCCTGGAGAACATGATCATATGCAAAAACCTGGGCACAGTAGTGTATCTGTACTCCCAGCACACAAGGAGACTGAGGCAGGAGGATCCAAAGTTTAAGCTCAGCTTGGGTACCTTAATGATTTAGTAAGACTCTACCTCAGACACAAAAAGGAAAACTGGCCTGGGACCATAGCTCAGTGAGAAGGCTCTTGGTTCAAACCCTAGTACCAAAACACAAACAAGCACACAAACAAATCAAAAATCAAAAACAAACAAACAAACAACAACAACAACAAAACCCCAATCTGCTACAGATGAGGGCTTTCCCCACGTCAACCTACCCCACTGGCCAGTCAGATGCATTTGTATCTGTGGTTTCCTCACCCACGGATTCAGCAGGCCATAGATCAAAAATACTCAGGAAAAATATTATGTCTGCAATAAATGTTTTTCTTGTATTTATTTCTTATATAATAATCTTCACAGTATTTACCTTGGATTAGATATTACAAGTAATCTAGAGATACAACGAGGTTATAAGAAGCATGCAAAGACTGCCATCTCTTATCAAGGCTTTGAGCAAGGGAGACCCTGGACTCCTCTGCAAGTGATCAAGGATTACTGTGTTAAAGTCCGAACACAAAGTTATGATATTTATCACTCACACTGTCTGAACTTTGCTTCTTGGTGGAGGGTCCAGAATTTTTGAATGTAATTTGCACCCTAAGTCACCCAAGGCAGTATCAAATCTTTCCTATGCTGAAGTGAGGGAATGGTTGGTGCAAGATTTCTTGAAAGCTGTTGGGTTGGATTTTAAAGACAACCTGGCAACTTTGTGAGAGCAGAATCAAAGGTCTACCAAGGAATTTACGTCTGTTAACCAAAGGGCATCATTATGTAGAGAGAATGAGCTACATTTGTTCTACTGTAGCCAGGGGGACATGTCCGGAGCTCTCAAAGGTGGTATCAAGTTGTTTAGATGAGTAACAAGAAAGGGGTTCAGAACACACCTCTGCCTTTGCCTTGCAAAATGTCCTCTGAGGGCTCAGCCTGCAAGCCTGCTGTTTCACACAGGCACGATGCCACTAGAGCCTCACGACTGCCAATAATTAGCTCCATATTAAGTTCATAGGCCTTAGCCCCTAAGTGATCCACCAGGAAAATGTGACAGGTAACTAGCAAGGAAAGTGGCAAATGCCATGTGTTATTCTTGACAAACTCCTTCTCAGAGGGACAGAGAATGTACCAGGGACACGTCACACACCACTGTGGTCCAGAGAAGGCTACCTTCACCACACAAGGAATACCAGAGGGAGGGAACAAGGGTTCTAATGCTTGTCAAGGAAACTGACATAAAGGTTAGAAGTTCACTACAAACTTACAATCATTGGCCAAATCTTCAATACAAAACTCTGTGTGACATTAATGTATATTCATAAGGAACATTTAAAATTGCTGTATTAAATTAAATGGGAACAATTACCTGCTCAGCCAATAATGAAGCTAAACTGGAGTATGCATCGGCAAATTCTGGGCCGTATTTGATGGACTCCTTCAGCAGGGCAACAGCTTCTTCTTTCTTCTCCTGGGACCTACAGGTAATGGGGGGGTCATGGGGGAACAACTTTTATTAACACTTAGTTTAAATCCTCTTATTAGACTTTAAAAACTCCTTTTCTCAAGCAATGATTGGATAGCTAGTTCTGGATTATACTGCAGATGAGTTAAACTAGACCATGCCTGGAGCTGATGCTGCAGGTTTTGAACTGAGTTTCTACCTTTTGTTTCTTGCCATGTACCTTTTTGTCTTCCTGGAGACAGAGCCCGGGCCTTGTGCATACTAGGAAATAAGTATTCTCCTACTGAGCTAAATCCCCAGTCTGTTATGCACCTTTTGAGAGTTTTACCTAATAGTTTGCAAGTCTGTTAACAGGAAACGGCCTTCAGGAAACAATTTTGGGCCACGCTCTGGTGGCACTAGAGCATGTTCACAAGGAGTATCTGTGCTCTTTCTGACTGTATTACTACAAGCTGGTTTCCTAACGGTGGCTGAGCTGCTACCTAGGGCCAAGCCAGGTCTGACTGCCAGGATAATCTGTAGTTCTATGTCTAAAGGAGAACATTTTCATGCATGATTTATGAATTAGAAAACACCATGACTGAGAGCAGGCAAACAATAATGAGCTCTTACTGAACATCAGAGTTGGTTCTGTTTTCCTCATTTGAGGCTTCTCCTGGTGATTCTCTTCCACTCAGAGAATCAAGACCTGAGTGGATGCTCTTTTGGACAGCACTATAGGAAAGATCTGCTCATTATCCTCGAGTCAATGTCTCTGAAGCTAAAAATTACTTTTTTTAAATTTTTTTATTTTAGGACAGGTTTACAGGGTCCCACTGCGTAGATCAGACTCCTAGTGATCCTCCTGTTCACAGCCTCCCAAGTGCTGGAATTACAAGTGTGTGACACCACGCCCAGTCTCAATCGCCTCTCAGCACACCCCCGAGGGTGGGGCCTGCAGGGCAGGCCTGGGGATCGAACTCCTGGCCCCTGTGTCTGCTTAAGCAGATGCTTTAATCCACTGAGCTATTTGGTCAGCCCCTTACAAATTACTTTTAACCACAGTAATTTTTCTGCTGATTCTTGTAAAATCCTAAATATTACAAATGTCCAGGGGTGGGTAGGTGGGTGGAGAAGAATAGAAGCCCAGAAGTAGAGCTGGCACCCAGTCGAACTGCCTCCTCCCCATCTTCACTGGTACCAATGTAGGCCACATGCTGTTTTTTTTACTATCATGACTTAGCAATGAGTATGCATCATATGTTCTCATAAACTTCCCCATAACATTATTAATGCCATTCTCACAATCTCGCATGGTAGGTATTGTTGTTTTATTATTACACTCATTTTTCTAAAGAGAAAATGTGGGTTCAGAGGAGCCATGTGAGCTTCCCCTGAAATGTACCTACTCCTTCTGACCTGTGCGGGACACCTCGGAGAGCCAGAGGCTGTATATGAGACCCTGGCCAGCACCACCAGCATTGTGAGAAAGCTGGTCTGAAATACTGTCACAGGCCTGTGGCCCCAGACCCTGAATTTCTCAACAATTCCCAGGCAATCTGTACAGGCACTGAGATTCCAGCAGAACCACTCATGGATTATCAAAGGCAGCTGAGTGTAGCTCCTGGCACCCCCTGTAGGTCCAGTTACTGTATGGTAAGGGTACGTAGAGGCAAATCTAATACTGACTCCCACCTGAGCTCCTAAGTGTTGCAAATAGCCTGCTCCTAGTCGATTTCACCTGGAGGAAGGAGTTCCTATCCCACCATAGGGATTCCAACAAGACCTCAGACTTAAGGGTTCAATTTGGTAAACATTTATCTTGTCTATTATGGGTCAGGTGTAGTTATTTCCTAGTGGAGATGGCTTCCACACTCTCTTCTTATTAGGATCTAACTAACTCCAAATAGGCTCCTCATAACTTTAAAAATCAGAGGTTTAACATATGTTAAGTGGGTTAAGTGGTATGCAGCTTTAAGGTCACATTGTAATATAATAAATTTGTGTTATAGCTTTCTTGTTAAATTTACTCAATCAACAAAAATTTTAAATGTGTCTGTGAAACTCATGGAAGCATGCTATGTTTACATATATTCAGCTTTTATTCTAAATCATACCTTGATTTTACTGCATTTTTTTCTGGTTGAATTTTTCTTTAGAGGACGTTTATTTTTTGTTTTTGGTACTGAGGACTGAACCCAGGGCTTCTAGCTTGCTAGGTAAGTGCTCTACAGCTGAGTCAAATCCCCAGCCCCTGATACATACCTTAAAGTAATTCTTCCATTAATATGTTTTTATTTTTTAATTAAAAATTTTTTTAATGTATTTGTTACAGGGTCTCACTACACAGATTGGACTCGTAGTGATCCTCCTGTTTTCAGCCTCCCAAGCACTGGGATTAGAGGTGCACACCACCATGCCCAGCCAGTCTCAATCGCCATCTCAGCACGCCCTGGGGGTGGGCCTGGCATGGCACACTGGGGACCAAAACCTGGCTCTGCCTAAGCAGGTGCTTTAGTCCACTGAGCTATCTGGCCGGCCCTATTAATATGTTTTTAAGGTGAAAATGTATTTTTAAAAATTCTGGTGATGCAACCACTGATTTGCTGATTAGTAGAACTCTTCCTTGAATTCATAAATCTTTACTGATAAGACTAACTTGGAAATCCTACTAGAATGCAAAGAACAACAGAGACTTTGGGAATTAGGCTGGAAAGTAAGTTCCCCAGGACATACTTTAGTTGGATGTTGTTCAAGATGAGCAGAGGACAATCAAATAACAATTTGACCGTAATGATTTATGCTATTCATTTGTCATAAGTTACACCAGTTAGAATGTAAACCTAGACCTTTTCTTTTCTAATCCAATGAACTTAATTGCCACAACACAGTATTATGAATATAAATACCTGAGGCTGTCCATTAACATTCACAGGACACATCCGGACAGGTTAACCTCACAGGGAAGCTCAGATTCTGCATGCAAATGGCATCTCCAGAAACCCCAGGGGGACAATGGCATCACACAATCAGTGTTGGCCAGGCAGAGGATACTTCCTGAGGCTCAATCTACGAAAATTTTAAAAGTGTCTGCAAAACAGAGCGAGGGTGACGCTTGCTCAGCCCAGGATCCTGAGACTCCCTATGCACCAGACTGATGGGTACTTCACAGTGCTTTTTAAACAAAAGCCCACATGACTGGTAAGTGAGCATTTTGGTGTTTTGAAAATGCAGAAGGGTTTTTTTTTTTTTTTTTTTTTTTTTTTTTTAGCAGTCTCTGGTACACCATTTGGAGGGAGCTGAGGGGATGGGTGTGGTTTGACACAGTAATTACGGCAGACAAATTCATCTAAATGGAAACTTCCTTACTTTATTTAACAACGTACTTATCACATGAGGACTGAATTTCATTTCCGACTGCATCTGATTTTAGTAGCAACCCTTTTCAGACACACACTGTGACACATATTCCTCTGATGAAGTTTAAACTGGGGCAAGATTCCTACAATCTCACTGGACTACTAGAGTACATCTTATCTTGTTTTGCTTATTACTTCACACATGTGCTTTTAGTTGCTTTTCCTTTTACTACACGTGGACACTTGAAATTTTTCTAGAGCTTCACTTTCAATATATTCCCATCCATAGGTATCTTCACTAATGCTCGACTCTCTACAAACGGACTCTTAGTCTCTGGTTTACAGTTTGGCTCTGGGTTTTGCAGAGCCTGGGAGGCCATCTGTTCCACTGATCCTCTCTACTGCACTTCAAAATCACTTGGGATTGCTTTTTCCCCTCACTAGTGGGGAATGAATCCAAAAAGTCTTTGCATTGAGCTACATCCCCAGTCTACTTCTCATTTTTAAATTTTAAGACAGAGTCTTGCTAGGTCAGTAGGCTGGGCTCACATTTGCAATCCTACCACCTCAGCATCCCAGCAGGATGCAGGCCTGCACTACAAGCCCAGCTTGAGATTGTTTTTAATTCAGGTTAGAACTCTTAACAGGAAGCTCTTTATATAATGACCATCCAGACTTCAGAATCATAGCTGAATCCAACCTTCTTGATTTAGAGCAATAGAAACTGATTTATCCAGAAACCAATCAGGAGGAAGGCTTACCCTGGGCCGGCGTGCTCCCTGGGCACTCTCACCATGACCCAGCCGAGGGCCGCCTCCTCCTCACTCCTCCGGCCACGCCTTTTAATGGCTCTTCTGACTCGCCCATCTCAGAGCACAATTTCCTCATCAGAACTCCTACATGCATAGCACAACTAGACAAAACTATACTGTATAGGCATGTCTGTGAGTCTGTATCTATATACATATAGGTCAAGGGTTTCTAAATCTGAAAGTCTGAAATCCAAAATGATCCAAAATCTTAACCTCTTTGAATATTTTTCAGAGTTTTAGATTTCAGAGCAGTTAGCAGTTTGCATTTCTACATTAGAGATGTTCAATCAGTAAAATCTATGCAAATAATATAAAATCTGACAACCTTGCATTTCTGAAACACTTGTGGTCCTCAGCATGTTGAACAAGGAACTCTGTGTGTGTCTGTTGTTAATTTTATGCCCACAACTCTCTGTGTCTATGTGTACTGTGTGTGCGTCTCCACCTAAACACACAGTGGTAGGGAGCTGCCCTCCCGTGGCACTGTCTGGCCCCCGGGCCAGCTGCCTTTTGCTCTCCTTTGTTCACACTTTGAGGGGCTGGGCTCTCTCCCTGCAGGCTCTGGCCAACAGTGAAGAGTACTCCGTACCACCTCCTTGGGGGCAGGTCCGCCCTCCAGCTGGGGCAGCATGCACACAGCCCCAGGTGCATGACTCTCACGCACCGTGAGAAGCGCTATCTATGCTTAATGCTCATTATGCGTTATGAGGTAGGCATAATTACTGTGAGCTCCATACAATAATACCAGTAACTACTATCCCAACCCAAGTTACAAATTGAGATTTAGACACCTCAAGTGGGTCACCCCACAGCACAGGTACTCTGACCACAAGATGCCAGGTGAGAACTTCGAGCCCATCTGT